GGTCCTGACCTGGCATCTCAGCTTTGGTCCCTTTCTCGCCGCCGTAATGTATTTCGACGAGTTTTTCTATAAATACTTTCATGGCAATTGATCGGATGAACGTCTTTCTGTAGTACCGATATTATCAAGAGTACTAGATTGTGGCAAGGTCTCATCCTTTTTGTTGTCGGTTTACATTGCGTTTACATTTTTTTAGAAAATCAATGTCAGTCGTTATCGTCTGTCTTATTCTCTTTCTTTTACCGTAGTTTTTCTCATATTCTCTAACATCTAGTAACCTCTTGCATCATAGGGGCTTTATTGTCTTGCTTGAAATGAAATAAAGTGAGTAATATAGAACACATGTAAACATCAATTGCTCTTGTCCAACTGCAATCTTCAGCTGGGTGCCGGGCTTCAGCAAATTTTCGGCCCATTAAGCTCAGTACCTCTCCCCACGTTGGATGATGTTACGTTGCAACCGGTCTATGTTGTTATTTGGACGCGATTGGATACGAATTACTAGGTAATCCATACATTGGATATATTTATATTTTAGTTCTTCAAAAAAAAAAAAAATGGATCCGTTCGTCTCGGAAGGTGCCTACTCATGAATTATATTAAACTGCGTCAGAATATTTGTAGGATTTGTCTATATTTCTGAGGTGAGGTATTATATACACTATTTACATTATTCGGACTGTTGTCCTCATCTTTGTCGCCATATTTATCACAAGGTTTTGGCCCTTTAGTATATGCCTATATTTCTGAGATGAGGTATTATAAACTATTTACATTATTCGGATTATTGTCATCTTTTTCGCCGTATTTATTACAACGTTTCGGCCCTTTACTAACTAAATTTCTGAGATGTGGTATTATGCACATTATTCGGACTATTTGTCCTCATCTTTGTTGCCATATTTATTACAAAGTTTCGGCCTTTCAGTGTCTGTCTATATTTCTGAGATGAGGAGTTATGTACACTATTTACATTATTTGGACCATTGTCCCAATCTTTGTCGCCATATTTATTACAACGTTTCAGCCTTTCAGTGTCTGTCTATATTTCTGAGATGAGATATTATGTACACTTTTTACATTATTCGGACTATTGTCCTCATTTTTGTCGCCATATTTATTACAACGTTTCGGCCCTTCAGTATCTGCCTATATTTCTGAAATGTGGTATTATAAACTATTTATATTAATCTAACTATTGTCATCTTTTCCGCCATATTTACTACAACGTTTCGGCCCTTCACTATCTAAATTTCTGAGATGTGGTATTATGTACATTATTCGGACTATTGTCCTCATCTTTGTCGCTATTTTTATTACAACGTTTCGGCCCTTCAGTATCTGTCTATATTTCTCGGATGAAGTATTATGTACATTATTTACATTATTCGGACTACTGTCCTCATCTTTGTCGCTATATTTATTACAACGTCTTCTTCAGGTGGTTGGAATATCGAACTGAACCCTTTATTTCGCTCGATGGGGTAGGCTGTTCTAGTTCCACGTGCCATGTTTAATGGATGTTAGTTATCAGTTAGCTCCTGTTAATTTCCGTCTGCCACATGGCACAGTGAATAAAGGCGTTAGTTAGATCCAGTGATAGGACCCAAATATAGTGAGTTCAATACCCGGTTAAGGCAGTGGAGCACTTTCAGAGAGAAATTAATAGAGACAACTGATATCCATTAAACATGGCACGTGGAACTAGACCAGTCTACACTAGTGAGCGAAATAAAGGGTTCACTTCGACATTCCAACCACCTGAAGAAGGCCGGGGCGTACAACGGCCGAAACGTTGTAATAAATATGGCGACAAAGATGAGGACAATTGTCCACATAATGTATTTTTAGGATTGTTTTAACTGCTAATTACAACAGAAGGAACAGTTTCTTAAAGAAAATATGCAATTAACTAATATTTCGACTTGAACGATTCAAAACTGCAAAAGTGGAAGTCCTCAATGGTGAAAACTCACTTGGATAGACGTTAATCAGCGTCATGTAGAAATTAAGTCTGAATATGAGCCACCCATAATAAATAGATTTTGAAAGTTAATTAGAACCAGAGTTTTAAGTTTATAATTTGATTTCTTTAATTTCGATTCGAATTATTTCTCGAAAACTTTCAATATAATTTTTATATTTGTTTGGTTAGCTTTACGGCTTATCAACCTCAATGCCGACAACTTTTTTTTATTGCTGGTAATATTTTTCTTTCCAAAAATATATTTGCTGGTAATATTCTTTTCAAAAAAAATATTTAGCTGTTTGTTTAGTTTGATTTGTTTTACGGCATATCAACCTCAATGGGTTATTTAATGTCGACAACATTTTTAGGATAGATTCGTATGAATAGAATATGTATTCTTTGGTTTAGATTGGTTTGGTTTATTGTGTTTTATGGTATATCAACTTCCATGGGTTATTTAATGCAGACATTTTTTTTCCTGGTAATATTTTTGTTTTGTCAAAAATCCATTTCTATTATTTTTTTTTTCTCAAAAATGTATAGCTGACAATATTATTTTTCAAAAACGTATTATCAGAGGCCTTGCTGTTGAACGTAGTTGATCGTCATACCCGGGAGGCGGATGTAATCTGAGTGTTAAGTATTTGCCCATAGCTGAGACCCTAACAGGAGCTACCACCCCGGGTCAGGGTGGACCTGGGAATACCAGCAATTAAGAGGTGCTTCAACGCTCCTCAAAACATCCTGATCAGAGGCCTTGCTTCTGGATATAGTTTATCGTCTTACCCAGGACGCGGATTCAGCTTATCGTCATACCAAGGATGGCTTAAATTTGGATGCGTCCTCTAAGCAATACCTTCTTTAGGAAACAAAATAAACAAGATAGAGACTTATAAAATGTAGTTAACCTAATTAAGTAGTAAGTGATTTGATTTGTTTTACAGCATATCAACCTCAATGGGTTATTTAATGTCGACAAGATTTGTTATTGCTGGTAATATTTTTGTTCGAAAAAAAAAAAAAAAAAAAAAAAAAAAAAAAAAATAAAAGTTATTTATAAAACTTATTTCGACCCCAGTTTGGGGTTAACTATTATCGGGTTAACTATTATCCCAAACCTGAAACCCCAACAGGTACTACCACCCCGGGTCAGTATTTAACTGACAACATCAGCAAGTAAGAGGTGGTTTCACACTGCTCAAAATGTCCTGATCAGAGGCCATGCTGTCGGATGTAGTTTATCGTCTTACCCAGGATACGGATGTATTTTATCGTTATATCCAGGATGGAAGTGATTTGGAAAATTCAAATAATGAGATAAAACCATTTTTTTTTTAACTCATAACTATTAGAATTACGTAAATGCAATAAATCCATGAGGTCTACTTAAAGAGTAATTAAAACAACAAAAAAGATTTTGATGATTAGCATTTATTAGACTTTCCTTAACCCAAGACATTTTCTAGAATCGAAAAATATTTTTTACCATTTTAGAACAGATAAATCCAGTTCAGAATATAATCTCCAATCAATCCAAGACTTTATAAAGAGATATTGTACCTAATTTTTAAATTATGAAATGTAAAACTTGAAACTGTGTTTACATGATTGATAATTGCGGATTTCAGATATTTCCCATTTTCTGGATTAAAAACGGATAATCAATTACGTAAGTACAGTATCAAATTTAACATTAAATTAAAAAAAATTATGCCTTCGATTAAGCTGATCCTGCATATTTATGAACAAGACACCATTCTAAAAAAATAATTTCGGCTCATCACTTTTCCACCTTCGTAAGGTAGATTCGTTGTGTCTTTTCCATAAATACTTTCATGGTAATTATTCTGATGATCTTTCCGCCATGATAGCTAGACTTTATGAATTCAAGCGCAGTACTAGATTGGCGGAAAGGTCTCGTTTTTCATTTGAAATGTAAAAATATAACCGCAAGTTCTATGCTAACAGTTTCTTCATTCATACTTCTCGTTTGTGAAGCTCTCTGCTAGCTTTTTAATTCCCAGCCAACTTTGGTTTTTCAGAAATGTAAATACAATGTTAATCGTTATGTTCTGTCTTGATATCCGGCCTTTTGTCCGCTCCCCTTAAGTTTCGTTTTTGTCCGAAAGTCTTGTCACGCCGTACATAATTTAATTTTCTAGTTCAATGCTCTTTGGGGTATTAAGTAGAGAGTTTCACATGAAAGAGCAGAATAAACATCAGTCGAAGGACGCCCCTTTTGGAGACTGCAACAATCGGAGTACAGATTCGTAAATTATCACATGGCGCCGTGTTTTGTGCTAACGAAAGTGGCCATACACACTGTCTCGAGTTGCGAACGTCAATGAAAGTAAATAAACTGAATCCAGTACATGTGCTTTGTATTGTTCTGTTGTTGTCATTACTTTTTTGGGCAGAGGCGGCGAGACTTTCGGACCACACTGTAGTATTCAATAAGTTAAGAAAATTTGACTTGTTTCGCAGACAGAAAAGTTTCTCCTCGAAATGCTCATCCGGGCCAGATGCTTGATTAATTTAATGATATTTATACTGTTTCTGATAGAATTGGTTCGTTCTAACTTTCAAATTCTTCCTTTAGGGACTTCTTTGGAAACGGCATAAGTTTATACTAAATGCCACACTCTTAGCACTTTCAGACTAGGGATATATATATATATATATATATATATATATAATTATTATATATATATATATATATATATTATACTTTGTACGTAGTGCCTCGTCAGTCGTGTCATGTATCAAAAGAAATGTGTGTATCACGCATGGCATAACTGACATAAAATAAAAGGGGAAGAGAATTTAATTTTGTCGAAAGAAAAGCCTAACCACTAATAATGAGTATGACGTTTCGAATAAATAAGCATACGATCTCCTTCATCACGAGTCCCCATCCCAACATAAGAGGTAAAAAAAATAAATAAATAAATAAATAAATAAATAAAATAAATAAGACAAAAACAACATCGTTAATAGTTCAACTCATGTGCTATTTTATTCATAGCCAATTTTAGGCTTTGTTCTTTTTCTCTACAAAATGGCGTAAGCACCGGTAGAATTCTTCACAGGACGATGGCATTACGGCATCGATAAGTTCACCTGGGACGCTTCCTTTTACATCCGGTTGTAGTATGCAAAGAACGTTCGTCTGGTTCGGTTCACCTGGTACATTAAAACAGAATATACCACTCGGGTAGTTAAAGCCTCGAATGAAGTTGGGCTGATCTGGAAACTTGTCAGTCACACTTACGGCAAAATTCGCTAAATAGTCGTTAGTCTTGACGGTGGTAATCAAGTCGACAAAATCTCGAGCATGAATGATTCCCGTCAGTTCCGCCGTGGTGTAGGACCTCATAAGAGTGATGTTCGGGTTGATTACCTCGAGACTTTCGACCCCAGCTAGGCGCTTGTCCCATTCCAAACGGGGTGAATTCGGAGCAGTCTCAATGTACTTGAAGATTAGTTCCGGTGGGCCATTGACAAGACCTTCCGCTTTGAACATCATACCAGGGAAGTCATGAGATCTTTTCTGGTAAACAATGACACCTTCTTGGTTTCTCATAAGACTCCAACTGCACTTGTTTTCAGCGTAGCGAGTGACTTTTTGGATAAGTTCTTGACACAACGGCTCGTATTCTTCAGCTGGCATCGTAAGTTAGGGTTTTTGTCTACAATGAAGAAAGACAAAATGTTCAATAAAACAGAATATTCCGTTCTTTAAAATTGTTAAGGTCCCCCCCCCACACAATTTGCGCATTCTACATTGCCACGATTTAAATTTCTCAGTGTCGACCGAGTCATTTTTATCAACTATCACAACTATCATTAAAATCCTATCGACCGGCATTTAAACTAACTCCTGCGGTGGGCTCTTGATTAGGCGTTCGGATCGTTCAAGAGTGTGATAATTTAAGTCTTTGCATATTCTCAGCACTGGAAGCTTTCCTGGCTACCGTTTGATTTTCATTTGCACGAGGAATTTTCTTCAATGCAGACTTGGCTCGATTGCAATCTGGTCTTCCGTTGGCTGAGAGATCGCTAATATTTAAGCTTACCATTTAAAAAAAAAAAAAAAAAAAAAAAAAAAAAAAAAAAGTTCAACGATAATATTCTACGGTCACTTAGACAAGTTGATGCGCGTAGGTTCTTACTTTCCGTAAGTGACATTCGTATTTAATATATAGACGCAAGGGGCTACTAGGATTTGAAAGACAATCACAATACTTTAGAAAGAACCGGAAACCCAATTCTAAAGCGGAAACGAGGGATAAACCTCTACTCCTGTGCAAAAACATGGAGCGTGAAGTAGACTATAGGAAAACTTTACTTATTTTAGGCAATGCAAATTAGTGTTAAGCATTTACTAGAGAGGGATTGACCTATCCTTAATAGTATCAGTCTAGTAAGAATAAGAATCGGTCTTACCATTATCTTTCTGCGTTCCCGAACCCGGACAAAAAATTATCGCAGTCATTTTTTTTTTTCGTCAATGTTATGGTGAAATCTGTCCCTTGTTCCTTCACTAACGCATCCAACGAGTAAGTGGTACGAAATGACCGACCCGCAACTCTCCTGGGGTTGGGGTGGGTAGAGAGAGACAGAGGTTAAATTTTGCCCAGTTTTAGTATCAAATAAAAAAGGTAATTGGAACTATTTAATCTCCTCTAAAATAAGAAACAGTCAGTCAGGCGTATCGACCACAGATAACTCTCCAATATTATACCCCCTATGATGCAGCAAGATCAGTCAGCCGAGATCTTGTTAAATGGAAAACAGCTGCTCCAGTTACGAAAGCGGATTCGGAAGATTTCCGACCGATGCCTATTAGAGGCCTTCACGAACGGCCCAGACAAAACCGCCGAATGAAAAAGAGCTTTTTCTAGACGAAGGCGAAAGGACAAAGGACAAAGAAATAACCAGGACGACGGGGCAGGGAAGACACCCGTTAGACTGTTCATCACTCAGCCCTCTCACTTAGGTCCCCCTCTCAACCCTCAGGTTACAACGGATGAAGAAATTTGTTTATTCCTATAACTCTTCCACTCCTGGGTAATGATCTATCCAAAAGGCTTATTTTTAAGTTACAAGCGTTTGACTGAAAGAAGGTGCTCCCTGTCGACGAACCTGGTGTCTGGTCTGAACAGGATATCAACTAACGCGAAATAGCGATCAACCACATTTCACTGGGGTTGAAACACTGTATTGGCTGACGGAACGATTTATACACCTACCCAAACTTGTCACTACATCTAATAAACGAATGCGATCAGCACTAGAAGTTGCCATATTTTCTTAATCTAATTCGATATCAATAACTCTTTAAGAGAAATTCATCTGCGCCGATCCCCAAATAATCTTAAGGAGGTCGACAATCGTCTTCCCCCATAAAAACAGGCGGTCAAGCCAAAAGCGCAAACCGGATTGTGAGTGACAAGGCACTACTAGGTGTGGGACGATGAAGAGAAAACTTTACTGACGACCAGAATCCACGTGTGGAGAGATCTTCCGAAGCTCCATGTCAACTTCAATGCAATTCACGACTGAAACTACCTTTCGTTTACAATCTACAAAATTTTAAAATACCACGTCCATCGCCATCTATCATTTCTTTCAACCTCCCCTACAGTCTTTTCCCCACTTTCACTCTGCATCCTCTGCGTACGTGACATTCCCGCCTTGCATAAGGCAAAATGATTTAAAGAGACCCGCAGTGACTTATAAATTCAATCAATCTGTCGTAGGCCGGGACTGTCTCCATTTTAGACTTGATTCTTGACCAATCTTCCTGATCGTGATTGGACATATAGATATAGAAAAAGATTTAGATATAGAAAAAGATTTGTTGGCAAAATATAATCTAATTAGAAAATTTGGAGTAACGATCGAAATAGTTGATGGCAATCAACAAACCCTGACTGCAATTAGGCGGAATCGGTCTACGCAGAGATCCGATCTTAATTATTTCTTTGAGCATTGATCAAAAGAATGTGATTGCAGTGTTAGTTTTGTGATATATAGATCACAACTGAACCCTAGCTGTAGAATCCATCAAAACACTACGAAAGCAGTAACCATTGAGCAAGAGTATCTATGTATAAAATAGACTTTCTGCCTAAGACACTAACTGCTGTTAAATGAACGTTGTTTTTTTTCTCTCTCTCACATATCGTAAAACGTTTACGACTCAGTACGGTCAAATATTTCCTACTCAAATTCAAACGTGATATGTTTTATAGTGTAAGAGTCTGCCTGGTTGATAGAGTCAATTGTTTCAGATTTGTTCTGTCCCAAATTATATTTTGGCGAACCAATATTCCTGTCGCAATTTTTATTTTATCTTCACCTAGTACTAGATCTGAGGGCCACTAAAAACAAAAAAAAAAAAAAAAAAAAAAAAAAGACTGTTAGTGTGTGGAGTTTTATTAGCGTAAGAAAAATAAAGATAAACAGCTAATTTTAGACTGGAAGAGGTCGAGATTTAATTAGAGAATAAAATTTCACAGTTCAGGCGGAGATGTTAAAGGTAAGGAATCGGAAACAAGGGATGAACCTCTACTCCTGGTCAAGAGACCTGGGACGAGTGTGAACTGGATAAGGATGGCATAAAAAGTACCCAACATAAGAGTAATTGTTCTGAACACTACAGGGAAAGAATGCATTCTTTACAAGTAGAAGACAAGACATACAGCAACGACGCCAAAGTTCTTTTATGTGTCCCTCTCCAAAGAATGTTTTTATTACTAATGTCACCAATACAATACCCGAGGGTCACTCAATGTAGAGGGCTACTGTGTGAAATCGTATTAGTCTAAGAAAGAGCAAGATAACAGGAAAGATAGTTAATTCTAGACTTTAAGAAGTCTAGATTTAAATAGCGATTAAAATTTCACAGTTCAGGTTAGGAGTCTAGAGTTGAAATTGACTTTAGAAGAAACCAGAAACCCCAATCCTAAACAGGAAACAGAGTTAATCTATTCTCATTCAAAAGATCGGGGAGGAGTGTGAACTGGACGCTAGGCAAACCCTATCTATTCCTATTATACAAGAATTTATGGCAATTCAGATATAAAGAAAAGGCAGTGGAAACTAAGTTGTAACAAATTGTCAATAGGGATACACTTTAATTCTATAATTAAAACCAGCTGAAATGAAACGCTACAGTAACATTTTTCTAAAAGGAGGGCAAAAGTGTTCCAGGGGGAGTTTGGTAATTTTGTGAACAAGAGTAAATGTTCTTAGGCACGCTCTACAGAGCATGAAGACATCTATTGTACAATAGTGAGGAGCTCTAATAAAGAGCTGTAACTATTTTTCACATAAAGAAACATTGGGGGGTGTAATTATTTTCATATCCCCTCCCAAAACAAAAAAAACTGAACATTGACACTAGTTAGGACTTTTGCGAGAAATATTTTGGTAACTGGACTAAAAGAATGTTATGCATGAATGGGGAGCGTTATCCAACGAGCGGATCAGCGATTGAGATAAGCTAATTCATACGTCGGACAGATGAATAGCTGAACCCCCCCTTTGTGCTATGTTTTATGTAAAATCTACCAATAAATTCCATTAAACGTGCGTAGTCACATGCGCAGAAAGCGTGAATGATTTTTAATTAGCAAACGACAGAAGAGTACAAATGAAAGGAAAAAAAAAAAAGGCCACATTGTTGAATGCAAAAAGATGGTAGATTTAATACAAGCATTTCCAAGATTAGCACAAGGCCGTTAAATATTAGCGCGAAAGAATACATACCTTGATGAACGAGTTATAAGTCAATAAACTAAGAAAATAGACAGCTTTGAATTTTAGTGTAATTCAAAGGCTATTATGACGTCACAAGATGACCAACACTTTTTCCGTCCAGTTAAATGAAACATCGAGCGTAGTATGTAGTTTTAGACTAAATACGTAAGTTTCAATTTACATCCCTCCCCGCCCAAACATTTCATCCCCAAGCAAGCCAAAGTCATCATGTGATCCAAAGATATTCAAACTCATTCGGTACTTTTTCTGATAAGCACAAAACGTAAGGTAAATGAGCCTCTTAAGAGAATAGGCGCCTATCAAAGGGTGTGAAACCAAGCGAGACAAATATTTAAGAGTAATATTTAAACACCTATAATGTTAGACTAAACAATAGCAATGGTATATCTCTAGCGGAACGATTTAATATCGGAGCTACCTGTAAGATCTGCCCGAGAGGCTACCATTTTGGCCAACATTTTTTCGGTTGTGGGAGGGGGGTTAAAAAAAAAAAATAAAAATAAAAAAAAATAAAAAAAATATCACTCAACACTGGCTATAAAACTGACCAATACCGCGAAAAGAGACGAGACTGCTACGGAAGACGACGGCCCAGGAAAACACCCGTTCGACTGTATCACTCAGCCCTCTCACTTATGCCCCTCCCGATCGCTTATAGCAGGTTACAACTGATGAAGAAATTTGTTTATTCATATAAATCCCCTATTCCTGAGTAATGATCTAGCCAAAATGATTTTTAATCTACAGGAGTGTCTGGAGAAGTTGCACCCTGTCGAAAAGTGATCTACCACGATTCACTAGGCTGAAACAGTGTATTGGCTGACTGAGCGATTAATACAACCCCCCACCACCTTAGCACGTTATGTCTCTTTCATGCAAAAT